TTTAGTGCTGCATGATTTTGTGGCTTTGTTCGAGTATTTGTTTAGGGTGATATAGTTGTTGTAATTCTGAAAACTTTCCAGCTTCACTCTAAAAATACTAATTCTATCACATTTTCCAGTTCAAGAAAAAATCTGTGATTAAATTAAATTTTTTGAGTAAAGTTCACTTAGTCAAGCAAATTGAGGGGTCATAAGGAATTCTTCCCTAGTACTTTCATTGTTGGTTTTATTTAAGTTTATGGGAACACTTCAGTTCAAATTACCCAACGCTGTTCTTATACATAAATTTAATGGACTTCTATACAGTTTTAAGCTTTCTTTAAGCATTTTACTTATTCTGAAATCTTTTGATTAGTTATCAACTGTTTCTTCCTTCTGTGTTTTTCCATTTTTTTCACATTGGATTCTCAATCTAACATATCTTTATTTATTTATTTTTTCTTGTGGTTTTGTCAGAAAAGTGGATGAAGATCTTGACAAAGAACTGGAATTGCAAATAACAGGAGCTGAGAAGCCATCTGTATGGGAACTACTTGGCGTTCGTCTTATTCTTCTGCCTTACACTATTGGCAAGGTTAGATTTTGTGCCCGTGATTTGATTTCAATTTCGTTGTTTCCTTATGCTACTGAGCGGGACTCCATTCATTTAGCTCATATTCCTTAAGGATTTGTTCTTGTGTTTCCTTGATTCAGTTATTATTATGGTCTAGTTGTTGGTTTTGGAGATCCAATATAAAACAAGTAACTTACTCTTGGGAAGATGCCTCTTACCTGACGCAAAGTTCACTTAGAGTCCCTATTAAGGCTTGGAAAAACATCGGTGAGCAAATAATTGTTGCTATGCTAATTTTCTTGTTGAATAATTTAATGCAGCTCTGTATTTGTCCCATTTTTGTTCCCTTGACCCCTTCTCAATCTCTTCACTGCTCTTAAACAGCCAGAATTCCATTGTCAATCTATGCTTTTCTTTTACCTACAATCATTAATTTATGCTTGCTTGAATTCTGTAAACCAGATGAATCAACAAAAGAAGACCTTATTCGGCGATGTCTATGGAAGAAGCACAATATGGAGAACTACCAGTCTGAAATTCGAAAGGAGTCGAAACGCCGGAGATAGGCTGATGAAATTCAACCACCAAGTTACAATGTTAGAGAAGCTACTGCAATCAATTATTGCCTCAAAGACGAAACTATTTATACCAGTTGAGCCCCCTCCATTGTGACTGTCGTTGAAAGATGCCACAATTTTGACCCCGCTTTACACGAGGTAAGGTAATTTCGACTTGGATCAATTTTTTTTTATCCCTCTGGGTATCAGTCAAGAATCTCCTGTTCTCAAGTTAGTACTCGGTGGATTGAAATTATTACTGTGCATTTTATTATTTCATGCCATGAGTTAAATATACTGCTGACTATTCAACTATAGAAATTACAGATCTTGATCAGAGTTGCACACTTTTCTTTCTCTCCTATTTGGAAAACTAAAGTTGACTTCTTGTACAGAGAAATTTAAATAAAACTGCGTTTGAATTTTCTGAATTAGTTCTTATGAATCATAGAGTGGAGTTGAAAATAGACATCAATTATCATTCTAAAAGTCATTCGTTTGATCAAGTTGGTAATTTTTCTTGCAGATACATGTTGGAGGCTCGGCTGTAGAATGAATGATGGGAAGAAGATGGTGATATTCCCAGATATTTTGATATTGGATTTGAATTATGATAAGACATTGTGCTTAATAAAGTTTGTGGGTCTAGTAGAGTCGGCTAGTTGCGATGGTGGGGTGGGTATGGCCCAGCACTTTTCGATCAAGTGGAACGCTTAATTTGTCCGCCGCCCCCAATCTTGCTGGACGCCGACTCCCTCACTAATTCACAATATTCATTCATTTTATTTTATTTTCTTTCATTTATAGTAGCAAAATCTCTTTCTTCCATCATCTAGAGGGTAAATTTGTAAGTTTACCAATAATTTTGCAATATTTCAAGTGGGGGGGGGGGGGGGGGGGGG